AACTGCCGATCAGGCGGAAAAGACAAACCAGATTGCTGCGCCCATGTAAGAATAGGTGGGAGAGAGTCGGGGAGAATGGTGAAGAGAGGATCTGCCGGGCGGTCAGTCCCGGATAAAGGATTAAGTCAATGCAACGTAAGGTCTGTGGATTTTGTGGAGAGTCCACGTAGGACATGTAGTATGCGTCAGTCCATCCTGTCTGACGTCCTGTCCGCCATGGCCTGTCTCATGGAACGGACAAAGACTCAACAGCCGTCCTGTCTCACAGATCAGTGGATCGTCGGTCTATGAACCCTAGGCCCTAAACCCTGGACCGACTTGCACTTCTGACATCAGGTACGAGCGTACAAACTTATCGATCCCTCGAAATCGTTGTGCTGTCTCTCTTTGCTACTTTTTTTTTGTCTCGGACGGAACTTGAGGGGGGCGCGCCTCCCGTTCTCTCGATGATATGCCTACCGTGGGCAGTCGGTCGCCGCGCGATGTGCGACTTTCGACCCTCTCGATTGCCGTCGCAGTGGGGAAGAGGGGAGACACTACTAGAGAAGGGATTTTGATGTGAGACGATATTATGGAAGGAGTTGTTAACTGAATTCGAGCTCGAGAAGGCTCTGTTTTGTCGCTGCGAGGCTGGCTGCCCCTTCGATACAAGCCTGCCGGCGCAAACGCTCATCTGCTGCGCCACTTGTGCGGCTTTACAAACAGGGCACGTTGCCTGCTGTTAACGTTCTTCGCTGTCCCTTGCGAACAGGAGACCGTTTGGCGGTTCGCCTGCTGGTGAAGTGCTCGGCGTAGGGATCTGCCTGCTCGGCCGCCCGTCTGCTTCTTGTCGATTTCGGTGGCTCTCTCGCCACTCTTTTTGTCGATTCGTTGCGCTACTCCGTGGATAGCTGACCGCTTGGCGGCCCGAGTGTCATCTGCCGTTACGAGTCGCCGCTCGCGGCTTTCGTGTCGTGTGGATAGCTGACCGCTTGGCGGCCCGAGTGTCGTTTATCGTTGTGAGTCGCCGCTCGGCGGCTTTCGTCTCATGTGGATAGCTGACCGCTCGGCGGTCCGAGTGTCGTCTGGCGTACGAGTCGCCGCGCGGTGGCTCTCTTGCCACTCATTTTTGCCGATGCGTTGCACTGCTTCTGACCGCTTGGCGGTTCGAGTGTCGTCTGGCGTACGAGTCGCCGCTCGGCGGCTTCCGTGTCGTGTGGATAGCTGGTTGCTCGGCCGCATGGCGGCTTTCTTTCGTGTCGTGCGGATAGATGGCCGCTCGGCGGCCCGGATGTTGTTTGGCGTTGCGAGTCGTTGAACAGTAGGTGTTGCGGCTTGCTTTAATTTAGCTGCTAGCGAGTCCCACACGGGGGGCCGACATCATGACGCCAACCGAGTCCTGCTGTGACTCGGTGGCTGTTACTGTCTGTCAGTTGTCGTTCTCCTCGTCCTTGGGTAGAGACGACTCGCTGTCGTCCTGGCTCCAGTAGCAGGGGCGTTGAAGTCGATGGATCCAGCAGCAGGGGCGTTGAAGTCGATGGATCCCGCAGCAGGGGCTTTGAAGTCGTGGGTCCAGCAGCACACTCGCAGCAGCAGGGGGGTCGAAGTCGATGGATCCGGCAGCAGGGGCGTCGAAGTCGATGGATCCAGCAACAGGGGCGTCGAAGTCGATGGATCCAGCAGCAGGGGCGTTGAAGTCGATGGACCGGCTCCCTGGCCGACGGAAGATCTCCCTGAGAAACTCGCATCGGGGAGGAGGACGAACCGCACCACCCTGCGCAAGCCTCGA